GACGCCGCAGCTCGTCCAGCACGCGCTGCCGTACGCGGTGCGACCGGAGCTAGTGGCGGACGCCGCAGCTCGTCCAGCACGCGCTGCCGTACGCGGTGCGACCGGAGCTAGTGGCGGACGCCGCAGCTCGTCCAGCACGCGCTGCCGTACGCGGTGCGACCGGAGCTAGTGGCGGACGCCGCAGCTCGTCCAGCACGCGCTGCCGTACGCGGTGCGACCGGAGCTAGTGGCGGACGCCGCAGCTCGTCCAGCACGCGCTGCCGTACGCGGTGCGACCGGAGCTAGTGGCGGACGCCGCAGCTCGTCCAGCACGCGCTGCCGTACGCGGTGCGACCGGAGCTAGTGGCGGACGCCGCAGCTCGTCCAGCACGCGCTGCCGTACGCGGTGCGACCGGAGCTAGTGGCGGACGCCGCAGCTCGTCCAGCACGCGCTGCCGTACGCGGTGCGACCGGAGCTAGTGGCGGACGCCGCAGCTCGTCCAGCACGCGCTGCCGTACGCGGTGCGACCGGAGCTAGTGGCGGACGCCGCAGCTCGTCCAGCACGCGCTGCCGTACGCGGTGCGACCGGAGCTAGTGGCGGACGCCGCAGCTCGTCCAGCACGCGCTGCCGTACGCGGTGCGACCGGAGCTAGTGGCGGACGCCGCAGCTCGTCCAGCACGCGCTGCCGTACGCGGTGCGACCGGAGCTAGTGGCGGACGCCGCAGCTCGTCCAGCACGCGCTGCCGTACGCGGTGCGACCGGAGCTAGTGGCTGACGCCGCACTCGCACAGCATGCGCTGCCGTACGCAGTGCGATCAGAGCTAGTGGCTACCGCCTCAGCTCGTCCGACAAGGGGGGCGATCGCAGCCAGCCGCTTAGATTGGAATGGCCTAGTTGTGGTCAGGTATGGTCGAGCGAACAAAATGCACAAGCTTGATTCGTGCATTTATCGAGTGGTGAAGGCGCGCCTCCCCGTCGTTACGAGCTGGAACTTCTGGCGGGGTCTTAAGACCTAGGCGGCAGCAGAGCACCTTGTTCTCTGGCGAGGAGAATGGACGCCTGATACGTGCGCAGCATTCTTCCTCGGTGATGAATAAATCGATAGCCTCGCGCACTTATCGTATGACAGCTACCTGTGGCTGTGGCTGTGCCTGTGCCTGTGCCTGTGCCTGTGGACCTGTAGCTGTGGCTGTGCCTGTAGACCCGTGGAGTCAGACAGGGTGCAGACACGTTGTTATACGTGTGGACCTCGGTCGGCAGATATATCTTGTGATATGTGTAGGAGACGATGTATGAGAATACGTACATGTATTAAGTTGAGATGAATGCCTTAGATGCCTGTTAGAAGTGAAAAATGACTAATTCAACTCGTATGATCCAATGTCAAAGGGCCTTGTTTGCGTGAAGAATATAAGAATAGGCAATTTTTTCTGTTGTCCAAATTTACTAATATTAGTGATTCTCACAGATCGCGATGATGACAACTTTGCGATGTCAGTAAACCCTTAGGTGCAGCTCCTGCGGGTCCTGCTGATGACTGCTGAGTCTACTCGCCACCACCGAGTTGACCAGCCTTGTGCCGAGGCTGAAGGAAATCTCCACGCATGAAGAAAACTTTGTTTCAATTTTATTTGTTATTGTCATACCTGCTATTTTTGTTGTTAATGTGAGTAGACAGTAACCAATTAAATTAGACTAGTAGTGTAATATTGTGTCAGTAATATGGTTGGTTACAATTTTTGACCGTTAATTTATTATCCTTAAGGTGATTTTCTTTCCATCTGTTTAGCTAAATATTGGAGTTGCTTTATTCTCACATAATTGAACCAACTTAAAATGTAAACCGATGTTTGATTGTAATAATGATTGGAAAAGAGTAACCGTGGAGTTTCTTGCTCGTTCTTCTCCATAGGAACCTACACTTTGGAACGAGCAAATAGAGTCAGTAGGAATAGATGTTGTTGACGAAATTATAAAGGAGCCCGGGACTGACTCCTATCAGGAGAGGCCGTGTTAGGAATATTTGAAGGTAGAAGAAAATTTAGTTCGGTATAAAAGGCGTGTCGAGTGCATAACTTGCCCTTTTTTTGTTCGAGATTCATCAGACCGGCAATACGCTTGTCGTGCCAATTAATATTTCTTTGTTATTTTGTTAATTTGAGGATAAATAATTTTGTCACAATTATCTAGTCGTTCTAATTACACTTTTCTTAAAAGTTTGCAGTTGTATTTTTCTTCTTAAAACATAAGTTTACACCTGTTTTCTAATAGTATTATCAATCAAATCACTTTGACGGTGAATGATAAATTATTGCTTTTCTATTAGATCCAGAAACAAAATCCGAGAAACTTCTTGTTTGTGACTTTGTGAACACTCGACAATTGCAGCAAAAATAGAGATACTTAGTCTCTTAGGTAATTGTAGACATAAAAAACATCTAAGTGGATCGCATGTCCAATTGTCCATCTACTATTACTCGTACATAGGTACTTAAGTACCTGTAGGTACTCAACAACAGAGCATTTTCCACCAGTTGACAATTGAC